GCTGTCTCTCTCTCTTCCCCCTCCAGTTCCACTTCTGCTCTGCACCCTGCTCTTAGTTCCGGGGCCGTGTTGCTGTAAGCGGCCCCCAAGCTCCACCCCAGAGACAGCTGCATTGCAGTGCGCGGTGACACTGTTTTCTTGGCGAAAGCCCTTTGAGGCGAAGGGTGGAGGATGCTCCCGTGAACAGGATGCCAGAAGCCAACTGTCACATGCGCTAACGTCAGGGCCCTCCCCAGTGCTATCTCCGCCCCCACCCCTCCATTCTCAGCTGGTTAAGGCCAGGCTGCATCAGGGACATACAATAAGCCAGGAGTAGGCGCTTTGGAGTCAGGCTGGGGCTGCACGGGGAGGTCTGGGCTTCCTCCCCTTAGGGGTTCATCTCCTTGTCTCCAAATCCCCTGGGCTCCTGCTCCTGCACCAGGCACCAAAGAGGGAGCCCTGGGCCGACGTGAGGGTCCCCGCTCTCCCCTCTTACCGCGCGGGCGTTCTGCCCCTCGCCCCTGCCCAGCGGGCCGTGCTGCCGGAGCAGGGCACTTGGTGCAAAAGGCATGAGGGGCTGCGGCCCAGCAGGAAGGGACGCTGATGACTCAACCAAAGGGCCCGTCTGGTCTCCCCAGTGCGTCGCTGAGTCATCGATTCCTCCCCCTTCCTGGGCTCCGGCTGCTCAGCTCAATCAGCCCCAAACCTCCTTTTTCAGGCCGCTCCCAAGAGGTGCTGACAGACCTTGAGCTGGGCTGGAATTTCTCCCTCTCCACAGCCAGATCCCCCAGTCCAGGGGGTGCTACCGCTACAGCCGGTCTCTCGATCCGCGGACGGGGGTCCTGGCTACCCTGAAGCCCCATTCGCACGAACGGCTGAGGTTTACACCGGCCCAGCTCGGACAGACCCTTTGGGCCGGGAGCGAGGGGGTGCTCACACACACACACACACACACACACACACACACACACATCCCCCCTTGGGTCAGGCATCCAAGAGCTGAATTAGGGACATTCTGGAAACCCCCTTCACCCTCATCAGCTGTCCCTGCCTCCCTGAAGCAAGGAAGCTGAAATTGACAGCTTGGGACAACAGCGCAGAGCAGGGCTGGAGAACTATTTTGGGTCGGGGGGCCCTGACCCCCAGAAAAATCAGTCGGGGGCCGCACACAAGTGAGAAGCCCCTGACTGAGAAGAAGGAACCTCCCACATCCCCCTTGCACACCAGGGGGCCCAGGCGAGTGGATTTTGTTTCTCCAGCCTCGTGGGGGGGGGGCAGCAGGGGAGCTGGAGCACCAGCGCGGGCTCCCCAATGCTATGGGGGGAGCCCTGAGCCCTGGGGGCTGGATCCAGGCCACATTGGGCCCCCAGGGCTTAGGTTCCCCACCGCTGGAGAGAGTCACAATGGCCACAGAATCGGTCAAGTCGGCCAGAGCAGACTTTTGTTTCCTGGCTCAGCGCTCCGATTCCTGACGCGTTGGTACGAAGTTGCAGGGAAGAGCAGGGTTAATTGACACTGCGGCAACGGCCTTGGCCAAATGCGGCAATTACAGCCCATGCGCCCGGTCTCTGCTAGTCAACCTCATCCCGCCACGGAGCCTCTGCACCCTTCGAGGGCCTGGACGACTCCGCTACGAATGTCTCACGGTGCTTCCCCTCGCGCCCGGACGCGTGGCCTGTTGTCAGTCGGGGGGATACGCCTTCGCCCAGGCTCCCTAACGTGTCTGCGGGTCTATCGGTAACGTACAAGGAATCCCACCTTCGGGTCGGCAGTGACTTCTCCCCGACACGCTCCGGTCCACGAGCTGAAGTGTGACCCCCCCCCCGCCCGACTCGCAGCAAAGCAGCTTCCAAAAATAGCCCCCTTCCCTCTCCAGCAGCTCCTTGAAGACTGTGGCACTACAGGCTCCCCCCGGACACAGATCTATCCCCGGCTAGCCAGCCAGTTAGCGTCCGAGTCCAGGCGAGCCGTCTGCGGCCGCGGCGATTCCTCGATTCGCCTAAAAGAGTTAAAATCCCACAAAAGGCATACCTAGGGCTTGAGCGCAGCCGTCCTGCCTTCCGCCGCGTGTCTGGCTCAGCCGCTCCCGAGTAATATACAGCAACAGGTGCTGAGTTCTGCCAGAGCAAAATATCAACCAATCAGAGGAGCCCTGGGAGAGAGAAGAGGGGCTGACTTCACTCTGAGAGAGAGAAACGGGAGGCCCGTTTGCTTCCTTCCATGGGCTGCCTTGGCTCCTCTCAGGACTGTGGAGCTGGGGTGCCTAGAGCCAAGGGCGGGGAATGGGGAAGGATGCAGCAGCAACAGGTGCTGAGTTCTGCCAGAGCAAAATATCAACCAATCAGAGGAGCCCTGGGAGAGAGAAGAGGGGCTGACTTCACTCTGAGAGAGAGAAACGGGAGGCCCGTTTGCTTCCTTCCATGGGCTGCCTTGGCTCCTCTCAGGACTGTGGAGCTGGGGTGCCTAGAGCCAAGGGCGGGGAATGGGGAAGGATGCAGGC